CTCCGCGGGAATTAGTAGACTATCATACTCAGTAAATAAGCCATAGCTCAACCACCAATAAGCATATCTAGAATCATAACCTTTCCATTAACATGCATAACAGACTCACAATTACTGCATGCTTCCATACATATATCATGATCAACACGTAGAACATTCTGAAAATCATTTATATCACGCTTACATCACAGGCAAGCAGTCACAATATACGATAACACTAAATATCATCAAAGTTCATCATAACTTATTAAGCTCTTAATCAGGTAAACAACATACTCACATGTTGTAAAACAAGTTAAGAACGAGTTCAAAGGTCGATACGCTACTTACTTGGTTTCGAACCCCTTTTTCCTCCTTGAATGTACGTTTAATAGTACTTCAACACAATTCCTTCCTATTAGACCTATATTTTATCAATTTCAACATAAATATAGATCAATTTTGATAGGACAGGTCAAAAGGAGTCGAACGGGACAAACCGGGAGCCAAAATACCTTCTCACGCGCCCTCACGCGCCAATGCAAGGTCGGAGGTTTGCTTTCTCACGCGCCGATCCGCGCACAGTCGCACCTCCACTCGCAGCCTTCCCACGCGCCTCGCGTGTCCTTCACGCGCTCGTCTTCAACCTCTCCTCCCTGAAATTTTTCCCAATCTTTTCCTTTAATACCCGTTATGTCCCGAAGCAAAAATTCCATTTCTACAGCTCGAATTTCATTCCGATTTCTTCTACAACTTTATAGATCTTCTAACTACGGTTCTAACCAGCCTTATCTCATAACTTATTATGCAGTATAACTCAAGATATCGAGATTTAAAGGTTCGGTGATGTGGGTTTTTTCGTTACCTTCGAATTACCGTCCGCTTCAGCTCGGGGCCGTATCCTTTCCTCAAAAGATTCCTCAGCAACAACCCCTCTTCCTTTACCCTCGATTGATGTCCAATTTTAAGCAACCAAAACTCGAATTCTTCAAAAATTTCTTCCTCTGTTTTCTGGGTTTCTCTCCATCTCCATACTTCGTTTTTCTTCTCTTTTTAAAGCCTAATCAGGCTCTAATACGCTACCACCTCCCCTAATCACCCACTCATCCCTCNTTTTTTTTTTTTTTTTTTTTTTTAATTTAATTAATTAATTAATTAATTATTTATTTATTTATTTATTATTATTATTATTATCATTATTATTAAACACACAACACATACACACAAAATACATTTTATAATTATTTTAGGTTATTACAGTTTCGTTCTCCTCTCTAACCGATGTGGGATCTCACATAAAAGGTCAAACAGATCTTTCACAAACAGATAAAGAAACAGGACAGCTTTGTTAACACCAGAGATATATATATATATATATATATATATAAATAAATTAGTTTCAACACCATAGGTTCAGTCCAGAAGATAGCACCAATATGTACAAAATTTCTAGCAACTCGTTTATTTTGGTAACTCATACCTGGCGTTATGCACTTCAAGAGATGAAGTGATGAATCATAATCTTGAGTATTGTTTACAGACTAGCTTCCTCTTCATCTCCAGCATATAGGGTTCAGATTCACCTCTTCCTGGAACAATTCTGATTTCAGAGATTCAAGTGAATTACCTGTTTCATTTACAAGAGCTCCCACTCAGAATCAGATGCATAACTAGTCGATACGTTCTTCGTGTCCAACTTCTGCGAACCGTCTGTACCGAATTCCAGATCAATATCTTCAAACCAGATTGCTAGCTGTTCATACTCCTTTGCCAACCTCTTTTTGGAACTGAAAGCCTCCTGGATTCTCTTCTATTTTTCAGAAAGTAAAGAACAATAGATCAGAAACTAAACATAGAATCTTTAGCACTTTTGGTCATTTATGGAAAGGCAAAGAAAAGAATGAACAGATAAAAATGATGGTATTTCAAAGTGAATATTGTTTGAGGAGGCTCGTGTGTGTAGCTTTAAATGAGGGAACGAGACCTTGTACGAACGGAGCTTTTGCGTTCTGCGAGAGATAGCATGGAAAGCTTTATAGTCGACGCTGTCACACTCGTCTTTAACGGTCACCGGATGTCCCAAATCCACTGTTTCCAATTCCGCATCCAAAATAGAGCATCTGGAATTGTTTGGACGACCTGAGAAAAGATTTTAAGATCATTGTTAAACTCGGAAAAGAAGGGGAGGGGATAAAAGCTTTTCTCTGATTTTTGTGTCGTTGCTTCGAGGAAAATAAAATGAATCATAACAATTATAGATAACAGAAATGAATTGAAAGAATAGTACATAACGAGCTACGGGGCGTGCCTACTTCAGTCGAGAGACTTAGATCCCTAGAACTAGTCGATTTCGAAAATGCAACCTGGCTAGTGGTATGGAGCTTAGTATGAAATGCACTTTCATTGGCTCTTGAAGCATGGGTCCCTGTTGAGTCATGAATTGTTTAAGAAAATCAGAAGAAAACACAAATACTCCTCATAGGTTGAAAGATAAGAGTACAAACCAAGTGAATCCATAAGTGATAAGGAACCGCTGGAGGAGACAAACTTCATCTCCAAAGCCTTGTTTTCGATGGATGCACGAACGACCCCTTCAAAACACGGACGAGATTCATATTCAATAGATGCACGCTGATCAGCCGGTTCTTCAGGAAAAAAAGTACAATTAGAAAAGTTTTGAAGGGATTTCAAAGAGGAGACTGGCCTCGTCTCCTCTACAGTTTCCCCACGAGTTAAAACATATGACACGAGTTCAGAAGAAGTAGCGTCTGGAGCATTAGAACGACCAGTTCCATTTTCCAAGTTCTTGGGAGTTGTCTCCAACTTTGGTGAGAAGTGAACTAAATTATTTACCAAGATGCTAGAAGCTTGAGTAACGTTATGAGCGGATTCAACATCTGTACCGTGAATCGAAGTTACCGGTGGACCTCTAGTTGAGGTCACAATATCCTCTTCACATTCATTATCAATTCTGCCTGGCTTCAAAAGCAAATTAGAATCATCAGCTTCTTTACTAACGAAGTTTCTCTCACTCCGTTCATGGCTAAGACGGTCGTTGTTCAAATCATTAGTAGTATTAGGCTCGATAATGACACCCTTCTTTAAAACCTCATCTGAGTTTTCATCTGACAAGTCGTTGCTGTTCTTCCCGGAGAGTCTGGATGATTCCAAAGGTGGATGAGAATTATCCGAAATAAGAATTTCTTCTCCGTTTGTAACGTTAACTTGACACGATGTACAATCAGCTATATGCTTCAAAGGATCACTAGCATCGAACTCCATGGCAGTATCCTCTTCAGACTTCTTGCTTGCATCTTTATCTGTTAAAACCTCATCATTAGTCCCTACTAAACATACATCGTCCTCCAATTGCATATCAGAGTCATCACGAACCGAAGAAGCTCGTTTATTCGTATCATTAGTTTCACTAATATTACTCGGTGAGTGACTCGAAGGAATACTAAGAGAATGATTAGGAACTTCGGCAACTTCTTCATCTACAAACGTAGCTTTACAAGACACTCGACTGCAGTTATCTAGCTGATCAGTACTACCACGACCCACAGACGATTTATTAACATCATTATTTGCATCTTTTCCATATGCATTTACTGGAACATGTCCCCTCTGAGCCGCTTCTTTCGCTTCATATTTCACGGAATCCTCTACACGGGGAAGTAGACCTTGAACAACACCAGAGTATAATTTCTTCACATTTTCACTTGCTGAACTAACCTGATTTTCGACATACTTAACCGTATCCTGTGCATAAGATCGGTTTAACAGATTATACTTACTAAACAAAAGAAGGAAGCAAAACTCAGTGAAAAATTACTACATTGCATGAACATTGAGCCACACACACAATCAACCCAATAAGAAAGTCACCATATGAGCTGTTTTGTCAAAATATTGAATCACTGAACTTAAAGAGTATAAGAAATGGGGATACCTGGTTCATAATATTATCCATTTCCTGGCAGGCTGCTTCAAATTTCTGGAACATGTTTCCAACCCACATATTAGCTTTATATCTAAAATCCATTTTTGTTCACCTGCAAGATTCATAATCCTTAAATCCCAAGAAACAGGACAGCTACCTCATTTCTCCCCAACTCTGCAAATATTTTGTCAATCATCATTCATAACAGCCGTAACATATCCTCCTTTCTCCACAGTGCCAGTACTGATTTCCAATTCTTTTATCCTCTTATTAATGTAATTAAACCCACTTAAACATGTTGAATAAGATTTAAAGCAAAAAAGAGATCCTCCGAGACATTGGAGACATGAAAAAACCAGAATTCTCGGTTTTGATCAGCAGAATTACGTTGTTTTTCCAAAATTCAACAACCGCAGCGCTTAAAAAAGTATAAGAATTGAATTTTGACGCAACATTCACGCAAACTGAGTGTGGGAATCAAAAGGGGTTGGCGATCAAGAGTAGCAGAAAAAGAAAAGGTAATAAGAAAGGAACCTGAGCAGCCCGTCGAGGTCAGTCCATCATCGTTGGAAAGCTGCTCTTCCTCCTCGGCAGCCGCAGAAACAGGGTTTTAGCTTCTATTTTTTTTCAATGGCAGAGAGAAAGAATATCACAGGAGGTTTTAACTTTTGAAGTTTGCTTATCATATTCAGATCAAGTCAAAACTTACAACTACTTACTTCAAAGAAAAAAAAAATATATATATATATATATATATATATATATATATTTAAAAGAATTTGATTTGGATTTGTTTGATTTGAATTTTTAATGTGTTAATGGTTAAATTGTTGGCTTTTAACATGATTCTATTAAATAACTTAATCTTAAATGGTTTTAAATTCATGATTTTTTTAATTAAATAACATATTTAACATTGTTTTATATTAAATATGTTTACATTTTTTTAGAACATTGAACAAATATAAATTTTCTGGGGTCGAGTTCCCACGGAATTTCTTCTCCATCTTATTAAAAAAATTTACTGCAAAATATTAATTTAAAATATTTTTTTAATGGTTCATTTTACAGTATAATCTTAAAAATAATTTCTAAAAACTCAATTTTAATATTACAATGTCACATTCTACATATATAGTAAGCAGGGTAACAGAATGTGAATATATTTCTGTCACCCTCCCTATTTAGCTAGCAAAAAAAAACATCTCTGCATGTTCCCTTCCTCTTTTTTTTTAGATCTCTCTATTGTAGACATGAGAATCCATGCTCGATCGCAAGCTGCAGCACGGTTGTCGTGTAGATTGTTCACCCTCTTTGTGAAAATCAATATTGCTATCACTTGCCTTCCCAAGGAGTATCGCCATGAGGCCTTGCAACAGCTCGAGCTTCATTGTCACTCGCACATAGTCAAGCCAAATGTAGGGTAGCCATACAGGCACAGGTTGCAGGACAAATACAGCCACATAGAGAAGTTATTATAAACCTGCGGACGTGATAATGTCTTCCTCAAGCTAAACTTTCCACTACAAGCTTCCAGTGTAAATATGTCACACCAATTTAGAAAGCCCAATTCAGAAATCAAAAGGTGGTGTCGTACATAATGCAATTTACCCATCACAAAGCAAAGCCAAGAGGCTTCCATTTCTCTGTAATCTATTAGCAGTAGAAACTCCATACTTTGTGCAACTAGGTGACTACAATAAGGCAAAAGTCAAGTCTCACAATAAGCAAATAGCCTGATGTCTTCCAATAACCCCCAGAATTCAAGGCAGCAACCAACGTGACAAAATTATAAAAATGGTCCTCTATGCTTGCATTTAATCTCATCAAATTGCCCAAATACATATATAATTTAATTCACTGAAAACCACAAATACAAAATCTAATGTTTGGTTCAAAAGTATTAAATCATCAATAGATGCATCCAAGACCAAATGAGTTTGCATGCAGCACAGAAACACAGTCCTAACACCAACGAAAAAAAATAACAACCAACAAAGGAACTGCAAGAACGGACCCTGCCACAGTATCCTTCTTCTAATCACGAGTACAATTACAAAGAGAGATGGAATACTAAATTCGTTACATGTGCAATAGGCAAGCCTCTCTTCAACAGGTAGCAGACATACCAAACCATAAGAGCATTAACCACTTCCCAATTCTCAAAATTTGTAGAGAGAGCTTTAGCCCAACAAGGGGGGGGGGGGGGGGG